CTTCTGCAGCCCCAGCTCGTCGCTCTATGGATTGACGTGTTAAGGACCCACACAGTCCCTCAGTCCCACCTCAGGATTCAGTATCTTACGAAAAATCTATTCCCCAGGGACCCCTGGCTGGCACACAGGGCCTCTGAAGCCACCAACACCTCAACACTAAGGGTCTGGCCCTTAGCCCAGTCCCCACACCTGTTCCAGAGCCATACCTCCATGTGCTCTATATGTCGCAGATGGGAGTTTTTGGTGGCCAGCAGCAGGCCCCGAGCCTCGTCCAGCTGGGTCTTCACTTGCAGAGACTCGTTGTAGAGCAGTGAGAACTGGGCCTGCAGCATGCGGTACTCCCCTGTCTCCCGCACTACCTCCTCGGGAAGGCTCCGCAAGGCCACCTGGGGCAGGGATGCCCAAATGGGATCAGCAAGAGGATTCAGGGCTCAGTCCCTCCCTTACAGGCATAGGCCTTCTCAGCTCCTACGGCAGCCCACCTTGAGGCGCTCATTGGTCCGCACAGCCCCCTGAAGTTCAGCCTGCAGTTTCTCCAGCTCTGCCATGCGGCTGTTGGCCAATTCCTGGTTTTCCTCCAACTCTGCATTCAGCATCTCAAACTAAGGAGTGGGAGGCGGGGCCATGGGAGGCAGGGCCAGGTGTGGCAGCAGGCTTCCCTTACATCCCCAGCAAACACTCCAGCCCAAGCACTCCGTGCAGGGCAATGACCGATTCTGATGCCCCAAACCAAGTACTTTCCTAAGGGCTCCCAGACAAATGGGAGAAAATTCAATACTGCATGGTTGGTGTTGAGAACTAAGGCTCTTAACTGATGGGGAATCACGGAAGCATTCCAGGAAGGCCTAAAGTGCCAGTAAAGGGAAAAAGGGCACAGTGACCACCAGATGCCAACTGACTCCAACTCACTCCTCTCTCTCTCTTCTGTGCTTTATCTTTGTGGTACTCATAACACAATGATAGGCTATTTTACCAATTTCTTGTTTGTTACAACAAGTAGAACCTAAAGATATATTCTTTTATTTATTTCTTGTCTGGTCCATGAAAGTTTTAACCTCTATTTTGTTCTCCCCAATATGCCTAGTGCCTAGCACTAAGTGTTCAAAAATTTACTCAAAAAGTATATGAATGCATGAAAGAAAGAGCAGCAGGAGTGACCAAGAAGGGCCTTGGAGATGGACGTTTGTCCTTCATCTCGAGGGGAATTTCAAGAGTGCAACACAGAAGAGGTCGTGAGAAGGGGTGGGAGGAAGACGCCGCTCACCTTCTGCATGCTGAGTGTGATCTGGCCCCCCTGGAAGCCTGAGGAGCTCCCAGACACATAGTAGCCAGAGTTCAGCTGTGGAGAGAAAACAGACAGGCAATGGAAGTGGAGGGGAGGAGCTAGGGCCCAAGGGCCCAGCCTTGCCTCACCTGCCCCAGTACCCCTGCCCCACCTGCTCTAAGGCCTCTGCCAGGTGCTTATTGAGCTTTTGCTCTCGCTTCCGCAGCTTCTCAATGTCCCACTGCAAGTCCTCCACTGTTGTCTCCATCTCCAACACCTTGGTCTCTGCCGACGTCACTTTATCCTGGAGCTCGGAGTACTGGGAACAATGAGGGAGCAGATGCTTGGATGGGGGACTTGGTCCCTGAGGGCCCATCTAACCCAAATCCTGCCTGATTCTAATCCCACTCCCAAAGCCCCTGGCTCCTCACCTCCAATGAGATGCGGTGGTGTTTCTCCTGCAGCTGGGTGGCCAAGTCCTGCAGTCGCCGGTTCTCACGGCCCAGCTCTCGGGTGCGTGCCCGAGCCACCTCACTGAGGGGCTCACTGTCCCCTGGGAAAGCAGGGCCCAGGTTAAGAGTCCAGCTCAGGGCAATGGGGCAAAGAACTAACTCATTCTGGAGTCTGCTATGTGCCCAGTGTGATCCCCCAGCTGTCTTGCCAATTTCTCATGACAAAGCTAGGAGTCTTTATCTCCACTGCACAGAGGAGGAAACCAGCTCAGAGAGGGGAGCCACTTTCCCAGCACGTCCAGGTGAGGGTGGCAGAACTGAAGTGGGAGAAGCCTGTCAACCTACAAGGCCTGAGCCCTTGAAGCTATGCCTTGTGGATCTGCAACCCACACAAAGTGCTCCAGAGGGGCCTCTGGACAGGAGGCTCTACTAGCATCAACAGCTCCTCCAACCCATCTCTCTAGCATTCAGTCCAGGAATCAAAGTTGGAACCCCCATCTACAGACTAACCTACCCCTCCCAAGAACGTGGCTGATATATTCCTTGGGGAATTCTGGCCGCCCTTGGACTTGGGCATTAGGGGAATTGGAAAGGGGTGCCATCAAGATGCAGGTAGGGATGGACACCTCTTGGGTATGGGCACAAAGAACCCACCTCGGCTATACACTCGCTGACAGAGTTCCTCCACCCGGCGCTGTAGGCGGTCTGAGGCCTCTACCACATGAGACACAGCTGCCTTAGAGAACTCCATTCGGCCTTGCAGCTCCAGCTCCACCTCCTCACTGCTGCTGGCACCCAGTGCCACCACAAAAGCCAAGGCCGGCTCACTGAGAGGGGGCCGCAGCTGCAATGGCAAGGGCTCTGGAAGGAATGGACAGACCCTCATAAGGATAATAGCAGCAGTTACCACCACTCTGTACTAAGTTCCAGACTGAGCCCTTCAATATTCATGGCTCACTTAATCAACACAACCTATAGTGCACTATTATCTCCATCCTGAAAGTGAGACAAATGAGGTTCAGGGAGGTAAAGTAATTTCCTCAAAGCTACAGAGTTGCGTATCACATCCTCAGGGATGCCTCCTGTACTTTCCCAATAAAAATTAGAATCTCACACACACACACGTGTGCACACACAATTATTCCCTTTCAAGAGCCCCAGTACTTTCTGCTTACTATGTTTGTAATTTCCTCCCTCATAGCAAATGCAATGAGCAAGTACCCATTTCTAGAAAGCGTCAAATACATAGTTAACACTCAACCGTAATACTGTTTTCAAACAAATGGGTGTCGAAACATGAATTGCTCTATAAACCAAGTTAGTCAGAGTCCAAAGCCTGTATTTTTGTGCACTGCACTTTACCACCCAAACATGAAATCCATTTCGTGGGGAGTAGTAAGGCAGGCAATTCAGAGGCCCAACACCAAAGTCCCCTCCTCCCCAGGACTTTTCCCAGAACTGAAGCTCCCTAGATCCCAGAACTCTGGTCTCACCCCTCAGCTCTGATGTCCCCGGCTCTGGGAGAGGAGTCCCATCACATGTGGGCCCCTCCTGGGTCCCAGGTGCTTCAGGCGCTGAAGACAGCTCCCCCTGGCCCTCATGGCATCGGAGAAGGGCTTCCACAGTTTCATCCAGCTGGAAGGAGAAAGCATCAAAAATGTTATGAATCCCTTAATGCTTTCCAACATTATACCCCTTTTCCAGCAGGGGAATCTGGGGATTGGCAGCTGAATCAAGGCCTGGTCTTGGAAAGCAGAAGGCATCCACCTGGGCCCAGTAGCGATTGACGATGAGGAGTGTGGCATCATCTGTGGCCTGCCGCTTCTCCAACTTCTCAATTCGTTCTCGGAGTTCATCTTCACAAGCCTGCCGTTGTTCCAGCCGCTCTGCCAGTTTTTTGTTCTTGAACTGTAGTACCTTCAGGTCCATCTCCTCCTACCAAAGGAAACAAAGGGGCCGACGAGAATATCAAGCAGAGCCCAGAAACCAATCACACAGAAAGAGAGGAGCAGAGCATCTGGAATGCATGGGAGATGGGGGTATTCCCACACTAACCGCTAACAGAATCTAAGGAGGCTCACACAACCCACAGCGAAAGTGTCTTGGTTGTGAGGAGGCTCACGTTGTTTCTGCCTGTCCCCTTCTAACTCCTTAGTCTTTGACAAGTCACACGCCCCCTGGGAACCTGTTTTCCTATCTGTAAAGGGAAGACAGGCGTCGTGTTCTCGGCTTCTTTCAACAGAGTATCCTGTAACGCGGACCTTGCTAAACTTGGGGAAGTGGGTGTAAGATTCTGGACAATTTGGCCAGGGAACAGAGGGAGGGCTCTGGGAAATTCTGAGGGTTAAGGCAAGAGCCCAAGAACCGTGGAAGAGATGCCTCCAAGACGAATGGGCTCGATAAGAGTGGTGGTGGTCTTCTCCTCACGACTCAGCTTCTTCTCCGGGGGCCCTGAGCCCCCGTCGCCGGCGGCGCGTTTGTTGCCTAGCCCAGACATGGCCGCGGCGGCTGGAGCGGCGCAGGGTCCCCTGAGGGGCGTCAGACGGGAGGAGGCGGTACTTCCGTCACCTGCAGAAGACAGAGAGCAGAGATGTGGGAACGGCTGGTGTTCCACAGCCCCAAACACCCTCCACCCCGCACACACCTGCTGGATCCCGTCCCCGCCGGCGCCAGAGCCCTCACCAGCAACAGGGTCAGCCTAGCGCCGCCATCTTGGATTTCACCGGACGTCACTGGACGTTACTGGCCCCCCCCCAACGGTGCGCAGGGCGCAGGCGCCGGAGGCAGCCCCGGATGTGAGGAAACTTCATTATCTTCTGCTTCTATTGGTTACGCTTGGTCCCGCCTCTCGGGTCCTCTGGCTTCTTCCCAAACACCTTCTCTTTCTCTCGGTGATTGGCCAAGAGGCAGTTCCCATAGTAACTGACACCAAGCTCCCACTTCCCGGCCTTGAGGACAGCGCCGGCCCTCGTATTAACAACTTGGAAGAGAGGGTGCTCAGGTGGGCACTCGCAACTTCTTACGTATCTGCGCGTTCTCTTCGCACCCACTGGCGTGAGCTTGCGTTTCCCGCCTTCATTCCTTCACAAGCCCCCTTGGCAACCGTCACCGTTGAGACGGAGGGAGACGCCCCCACGGATTCGCTCCGCCGCGCCTCTCGGCGCGCAGATTGGCCGGAGCAAGACTAGCGGGCCCGGCCTTGGTAGCCGCAGACCGAGCGCTGGCTGTCCTGGAACCGAGGCGGCGGGAGCCCGGGGCGCGCCGCGGCACGGAAGAGCGGCGAGATGCTCAACCGCAAGACCAGCCACTTTTTGGGAATGAGGGTGCAGTCGGAACTTGAACATTTCTCCGAGCTGCGGCGGGAAGCGGGGAAGGATCGCATCTCAGTGCGTGGGTCGGCCGCGCGGACGCGAGCGAGTGTGCGGACCCAGTCGACGGCGGCGGCGGCGGCGAAAGCGGATGAAGACCCCGGAGCCAACTTGTTCCCGGTGAGGGCGGGACAGTCTGGTCCGCTCGTGAATATTTATAAACGGGCTCCCCCGCAGGCACCAATCGTCATTATGCTTACTAACGTTCGGGACGTCTCCCGCGCTGCCTGGGCGAGGAGAGGCAGGGGTGTGTGACCCTGGTGGTTATTGTGCTCACATAGAGCACCTAGGGCCTCCTGAAGCCCGCCCTCGCCCGCGCCTCTCCTTCTTAGTCGTTGAGATGAGATGGCAAGTTACAGCGAGTTCTGGGGCCCGCTGCAGATTCGCGACGGCCAGGACACCACAGCTGCCTTCCCCAATTCGCTTTCTTTCCGCAGCCGCCGCTGCCCCGACCCCGGATCTGCATGTGGTGAGTGTGAAGAGACTTGGGGAAGAGTTACACTGAATATTTGCGTTCTTTCTTTATTGCCTCCCCAACAGTCCTGTCTGTGGCCAGGGCATCCCCATTTTTACAGATGAGGAGACTGAGGCCCAGAGATGCAATTACTCCAGGTGACTGGAAGCCAGCTTTCCAGCATCCCCAATCCAAAGAGGAGACAGTGTGAGAAAAAAAGAGCCAAAGACAGGATGTAAAGGGAGTCTCATGACTGCTATGGAGTATTGTACAGAGGGGGACACTGAGGGCCACAGGGGGGATTTGACCAAGGTCATACAAGGTAGTGGCAGAGCAGAAAAAAAGAATTCAAGTTTCCTAACCCTAGGCTTTAGAAATGGAGAGGCTCATAAGAGTTCATTTAGGCCCAGAGAGCTAACGATTTGCATAGTTAAACAGCAAGTTGGCAAAAGAGCCCAGCTTCACACCAGTGGCCCAACTCCCAGTCCCACGCACTAGCTGTCACAGCCCTGTCATGATAGGTAATGGCCACCAATACTCTTTTTCTTTTCCTATAACAGGAAGTACCTGGACATCCATTCCATGCACCAGCTGGAGAAGACTACCAGTGCTGAGGAGATGAGGCAGTAGGGACTGAGTGGGGGCGCGGGAAGAGCTCTTGGCAAAGGTCGAGGGGTCAGGTTGGGAAGACATGAGGAATGGCTAACTCCAAAGCATGTGGTGGGTTTAGGGTGATGAAAGGAGGCTCCAGTTGTCACTCACTACTCTCTCCCTCCCAAGGGTGTTGGCTGAGCTGCTGGAGCTAGGGTGTCCTGAGCAGAGCCTGCGGGACGCCATCACCCTGGACCTCTTCTGCCACGCGCTCATCTTCTGCCGCCAGCAGGGCTTCTCACTGGAGCAGACTTCAGCAGCTTGTGCCCTGCTCCAGGATCTTCACAAGGCTTGTATTGGTGAGAGGGGGCAGCTACCAGGTTTGAGCCCCAGGGAGAAGAGGAACTGGGGCTGGCACAAGTGACCATGGGAAGCAGAAGCAGGGGATTTCTGCCTGGAATATGTCATTATTAACAGCATTATCACACATAAGCCATCACCTTTCCAATCCACTGCTTCCTTATCTAGAAATTAAGGATAGAGGCCAGGCATGGTGGCTCACGCCTGTAATCCCAGCACTTTGGGAGGCCGAGGCAGGCGGATCACAAGGTCAGGAGTTCGAGACCATCCTGCCTAATACAGTGAAACCCTGTCTCTACTAAAAATACAAAAAAAAAAAAAAAAAAAAAATTAGCCAGGCGTGGAGGCGGGCACCTGTAGTCCCACCTACTCAGGAGGCTGAGGCAGGAAAATGGCATGAACCCGGGAGGTGGAGCTTGCAGTGAGCCGAGATCGCGCCACTGCACTCTAGCCTGGGCGACAGAGGTGACTCTATCTCAAAAAAAAAAAAAAAAAAAAAAAAAGAGAAATTAGTGGTACAGCACATTTTACAGGACTGTTCTGAGAAATAATATATGCAAATATATGCATAGTGCACAATAAAACCTGCTTTAGAATATTTAATAGCTCATGCTTCAGAATGTTTAATAGCTGAAATGAGCTATTTCTTGGTTTATTGTGTCACTTCTCCTAGAATGTAAGCTTCGTAAGAACAGGACCTTGTCTGTCTTGAGTGCCTAAAACAGTGGGCATATAGTGGGTATTCAATATTTGTTACATGAGTCAAGGAAACAAGCCAGGGCTGAAACCCAGATCTGCCTCTGAAGCTCATGGTCATAAACAGCTATTGAGTGAAGTGAATGAATGGATACCAGAGAGGGCCTCACTGCCGCATCTTGCTTTCCCTACCAGCAACCCCCTTGGGCAACGTGGAGGAGTGCTACCACTACTTCACCAGCGTTCTTTTTTGCCATGGAGTCAGGGTCAGTTCCCCTGGAACATTCTGGAACCTTTACCCATCCCCAGACAAGGTCTAGCCCAGTTTCTCTCACATTCATCACCCTTATATTCCTGTGAAGACCCCAGTGGGCTCTCCTTGCTCCTAGATTGCTAGGCTTTTGGAGGCAAAGCCAGGGCTCCAGGAGGTAGTCAGGGTTCTAATTCCCAGTCACCACCACAGCGGCCTCCTTTCAGCATCGACCTCTTCAAAGAGGAACAACTGCTGGCCCTGGAAGACTACGTGGTCAACACTTACTTCCGCCACTTCAAACTCTATAAATACGTCTTCACACCCCAGGTAGGGGGTGGTGGACCATGAGGAGCCATCCTCAACTCCCCATCCCCTCAGCGCAGGTGCCCTCTTTTCAGCCTCCCTCTTCTTTGCTTCTCAGGTGCGGCTGGATCTGTCTTTGACTTACATGGGGCTACAGCCACCCAAATTGTGGCCAGAGAGTGAGACGGGTAAGGGAGAGTGCCAGGGCAGGGCTGGGCTGGGCCAGGCCTGGGGCCACAGTCTCTTCCTGCTTCTGGTTTGCAGAGAAAGAAGCAAGCAAGGAGGTGGAGGAGCAGGCAGTTACGCCGCAGGAAGAGGAACTAGAGACAGTAGCCCCGCCAGAGCCGGAGCCAAGTGAGGATCTGGAGGGGGCAGGCTGCCCTGTCCCTCTGAGCGGGTGTAGAATGAAGGGTTTGGATCACATCAGGACTTCAGACTTTTTGTTTTTAGTCATAGAGTCCTTTCTCTAACTGATCCCTTATGCAGAAGTCCAAGATGACAGATAAAAGCATAGCTGTAGGCCCGGTGCGGCGGCTTATGCCTGTAATCCCAACACAATCTGAGGCGGGTGGATTGCCTGAGCTCAGGAGTTTGCGACCAGCCTGGGCAACACTGTGAAACCCCGTATCTACTAAAATACAAAAAATAGTCAGGCATGGTGGTGCGCTCCTGTAGTCCCAGCTACTTGGGAGGCTGAGGCAGGAGAATTGCATGAACCTAGGAGGCGGAGATTGCAGTGAGCCGAGATCTCACCGCTGCACTCCAGCCTGGGCCACAGAGCGAGACTCTGTCTCAAAACAAAAAAATGCACAGCTGAGGTGGCTCCAGAGAAATGATCATTAGAAAGCCAATGACAGTAACAGCCAGCACATACTTGGCAATAGGTGTGCAGTGCATGCCCTGCTCTAAGCATTTTATATAAATTAACTCATTTAATCCTCCCTCAATCCTATGTGCTAGGTACCACTATTCACATTTCACACAAGGAAACTGAGGCACGGATAGGTTAAATAACCTGCCTAAGGTCACACAGCTATTGAGTAGGGATCAGAATTTGAATCTGCAAAGTCCAGCATAGCCACCCTACCCAACTACCTTTCATACAAGGGCTGGCTGACATTTCCTAAAGGGAAACAACATTGCCACCTGTATATCCCCCAGGGGAAATTTGGGGGCTGTGTTTGCCCAGCTAGGGACCATCCCCATTGCCAGACAGCATCTCTCCTCACCCTGCCCCTTCAGGCCACGTCCACATCCTCCGAGCCTACATCAAGACCCAAATGAACAAGGAGCTGGAGGAGCTCCAGCAGCTGGTGGAAGAGCAGCTCAAGGCCAGCGAGGAAAGGCTCAGCAGCAAGTTGACTGCACTAGAGCGGCCCTTCCAGCTACCTCCGGGTAAAGGCAAGAGCAAGACCAAGTGACCCCCAGCATTTTCCCCAATAAAGGTCTGGGCCAGAATGGCCCCATCCCTGCACCCTGGTGAGTATCTTCTGGGCTTTCCTGCCCAAGCCAGACAGCAGACACAGGACACCCGCTCTCCCTGGTGTGTAGTGGGTTTTATTTCATATGCAGCGCAGGCAGCACTGACTGGGCCAGGCGTGGCGTTCAGAGTGGCTCCCTTCCACCCCAGCTCTGATCTCAGAGCCCTGGCTGGTGGGAAGACAGGTACCAGGCTGGTCTTTAAGAGGGTAGCAGGATCAGTGGTAGGCCTGAGGCTAGAGCCCAGAGGAGCTGGAATGATCAAAGCCCTTCTTCTGGAGAGTTCTGCTTCCTGGGAATCCCTGGGGTTGAGGTCCTAGCCCAGTACCAGCACGGCCTCATCCTCAGTTATAGCAGCAGAGTCTCCCTCCTCCTCAGGGCCCATGATGGGAAAAGGCCCAGGGGGCCGGTGCTGAAAAAGAGCTGCCCGGTTCTGCTGCTCCCCTTTCTTCACCCAGTGTCCATAGAGCCGGAAGGCACAGTTGTCGATGAGGCGCCGCACTGACCGCAGCGCATAAGGGTCCCTCAACAGTGCGTTCTTAGTCAGTGGCCGTACACGATGGGTGCTTAGGGCCACTCGTCCAGCAGCCAGCACTGTCCACACTGCCACCTAGGAAGGGGGGCAGGGTGAGCTCTAGTGCAGGGGAAAGATCACGGGACAGAGGAATGGGCCCAGACCCTGACACTCTCAGGCTTACCCGGAACCGCTGGCGGGGGGTGAGGTTCCAGGATTGGCTGCCTTCACAACGCTCAAAGAAGGGGTGCTGTAGGGCCTGCTCAGCTGTCAGGCGTGCTTCAGGATCCACCTGCAGCAGCCTGGAAATCTAGGAGAGACCCAGAGCATGAGGGGCAGCTCTTGGGCCTCCCCTACTGTCCTCTCAGCCCCAGCTCACCAAGTCTTTGACAGTGCTGGAACGGTCGTCCCACTCAGGGGAACTGAACTGGTACTGGCCCTCCATGATCATGCGTAACATCAGGATCTGCCGCCGGTGCCAGAAGGGTGGCGAGCCAGCCAGGAGTGTGAACAAGATCACCCCACAGGCCCAGCTGGGAAAGAGACTGGAGTCAGGCGGGACTGGGTGACAGGCAGACCCGGCAAAGGACAGCAAGCACAGGAGGGAGAGGGAGACCAGGAACTCACAGGTCGACCTCCTTGCCGTAGCCTGGGTGGGTTTCATCCATGGAGCATTTAAGGATCTCTGGCGCTAGATACCCTGGGGTCCCACACAACTCTGGGGAGAGAGGACCAAGATTGAGGGGATGCCACCAGCCCCTCCAGGGCCCCTAGCACTGGATCTCTGCTGAAGCCTCCTCAACGCCACCAGGACTACCAGTGTTCCCATCCTCCTCCTGCCTGCCTTCTGCCAAGTCTCCGCTGAGGCGCTATCCCTGCTCAACAGTTCAGATACCCATCATGTCTCCTGGTGGTCTTCCTAGGAAAACCTGGGTTTTGGATTGATTTCAAGGTCCTTGTTCCACCATATCATTTGCCTCCTCCAACCCTACCTACCCACTATCCAAGTCAACCTATCTACTCCTCACAACTTGTTACCTTAGTTTTATATATATCATAAAGCATATGGAAAGATTATGTATTTTTACATACATCACAATACATATGTAAAAAAAATTTTCTGCATTCCTATCTGCCCAAACCTTTCTCCTCCTATAACCTCCAACCATCACTCAACCCAAGGGGAACAAGCGGAGATATGGAATTTCTTTTGCTTTTTCTTTTTTTTTTTTGGGAGATGGAGTCTTGCCCTGTCGCCTAGTCTGGTGTACAATGGCATGATCTCAGCTCAATGCAACCTCCGCCTCCCAAGTTCAAGCGATTCTCCTGTCTCAGTCTCCTGAGTAGCTGGGATTACAGGTGCGTGCCACCACACCTGGCTAATTTTTTGTCTTTTTAGTAGAGACGGGGTTTCACCATGTTGGCCAGACTGGTCTTGAACTCCTGACCTCGTGATCCACCCGCCTCGGGCTCTCAAAGTGTTGGGATTACAGGTGTGAGCCACTGCACCCTGTAAGCTATGGGATTTCTTAAAGCACATAGTGGGTAAGTCCCTTGTTTAAAACCCTTCCCTGATTCCACATCATGACACATGATCAAATCTACAGTTCTAAAGCCCAGAGCCCTCCAAAACTTTATGCAAGTCTGTATTTTTATATTTATTTATTTTTAGAGACAGGGTCACTATGTCACACAGGCTGGAGTGTGGTGGCACTATCACAGCTCATGGCAGCCTTGGGCTCCTAGGCTCAAGTGATCCTCCTCCTTCAGTCTCCCAAGTAGCTGAGGTGACAGATGCGTGCCACCATGCTTGGCTCAAGTTTGTATTTTTAGTTTTTTTCCACCACTCGGGCACCAATTCTTCCAGTAATTTCTGAACTATGTTCCATGGCACACTTCCAGGAGATTTTAACAGCCCCGAATTGAAACTGACTTTCTTGGGAAATTCATTCCTATATCAAGTATTTATTGAATGCCAGTGGCATTGATTTGCCAAGTGGCAAATGAGATGTGTCCTTAGCGAGCTCACTGTCTACCTGAAGGCAAGCGGGAAGTAACAATAGAGTAAGAGGTGTTGTAAATGAAGAAGATAGGAGAACAAAAAGCAAAGGGACCTAAGCTGCCCTGGAGGTGTAAAGTGAAACTTGAATTACCCAAGCCAAGAAGAGGATGCAGTGGGCACAGGCAAAGATGATTCCAGAAAGGGGAAAAGTACATGTGGAAGCCCAAAGGGTTTTAAAGCACAACATCCACCAGACATGTAAGCTCACAGGTTAAGAGTATGAAATTTGAAGTCAGACTGTCCAAGTTCAGTCCTGGCATTAGGACCCTGGAGAAGTCATCTCACCTCTTTGAGCCCTTCTGTAAAAACAGAGACACAAATACTATCTGTCACACAGGGCTGTGGAGAGGATTTAGGGGAATAAGCCATATAAAGATTGGTGCCGGCCAGGCACAGTGCTCATGCCTGTAATCCCAGCACTTTGGGAGGCCGGGGCGGGAGGATCACTTGAGGTCAGGAGTTCGAGACCAGCCTGGCCAACATTGTGAAACTCCATTTCTACTAAAAATACAAAAATGAGGCCGGGCGCGGTGGCTCAAGCCTGTAATCCCAGCACTTTGGGAGGCCGAGACGGGCGGATCACTAGGTCAGGAGATTGAGACCATCCTGGCTAACAGGGTGAAACCCCATCTCTACTAAAAAATACAAAAAAAAAAAAAAAAAAAATACAAAAATGAGCCAGGCATGGTGGTGGGCACCTGTAATCCCAACTACTCGGGAGGCTGAGGCAGAATAGCTTGAACCCAGGAGGTGGAGACTGCGGTGAGCGAAGATCATGCCGCTGCACCCCAGCCTGGGTGACAGAGCAAGACTCTGTCTCAAAAAAGAAAAAAAAAGACTGATACCTGCCTCATAGGTGAATGCCCAGTAAACGGTAGCTTTTCATAAGTCTAGTGCAAAGCCATTGAGGGAGAGAGTCAGTGGCAGACTAAAGGCTCTGAAGAATCCCACAGGTGAATTTTATTTGAAGTTTCCCATTTGCAGTAGAAATATTACTGTCCCGACAAATGTATTCACATCAGGTGAACCTGAGGCCTAGGGCCCAGGTGGGAAGTGCAGTCTGGACACATCACATCAGGCTCCCGTGGTCCTGCACTCCAGACCCCAAACATGTGGCTGAGCATGACTCTGCCCTGCTCCCTTTTTCACCTCTTCTGTGGGGCTCAGGCTGAATTGGGGTTCCTTCCTCTGGGCTCCCCTGGCATGGCCCTCTGCCCACCGTGCACCACTGTCTGTCAGCCTACTTGTCTGTCTCCATTCTCCCCAGGTCAGAATGCCCAGTCTGAGGTAAACACAGGTTTTGCGCCCACAGGGTAATTGGCAAGTACCCAATGACTTCTCCCTTTTTCTTGGCACCAGGGACTTGGTACTCAGACCCAGCCAACCAATCTCATCAGGCCTGGGTCTCCCCTCCCAAGCCTATAAGGACACTAGATCCCCTCACCTCGAAGCTTCTCGCCAGGTTCCAAGTGGCAGGAGAACCCGAAATCTGAAAGTCGGATCTGCATATTGTCATCTAGGAGAATATTCTCGGGCTTCAGATCTCGATGCACAATGTTGTTGGCATGGAGAAAGCTCACTGCTTCCAGCAGAGACCGCATGATGGACCTGAGGGAAGGGAAGGCGGGTGCAGTCTCCTCCTTGGCTCCTCCCTGCCCTGTCCCACCCCCTGCTCACCCCTGGGGCTGCAGGCTCAACCCTTACCTGGTTTCCTTTTCTGAGAGGGCTACCTTCTCTGTGAGATAGTCAAACAGCTCTCCCTTCCGCATCCTAAGGGAAGGAGGGGCATAGGAGGCAGCTGCACCCCACATTGGGGGTTGAGAAAACAGACCAGTGCTCATACAAAATATCATGGAAGAGGCCACTAAAGATAGATTCCTCTGCGGACAAACCAAAGGGTCTAGAGACACAGCACTCCAACAAGGCAGTTTGGCCTGGTGTGTTGGCAGCTGAAATACCTGCATTATGCCATGATGGCAATTATAGCAAAAATAAGAGACTTCTTGTGGCAATATAATTTATAGGAGTTTCTTGTTGTTTGAGAATAACTATGCCTGAAAAAGGCCTCTCAAAGTGAATCTATAAAGAAAATGGACCAAAATTTCAGTTTTTTTGTGGCACAAAGGTTGAATAGGACCTGATTTTGAAATTTTGTCTTTAAAAGCTGAGGTTATGATTATGTGTCAATTAAAAATAATACTTTCAAAATTGAGTTATACTTGCAACTCTGCATCAGTCCTCAAAGTAACTTATCAGGTACTGTTTTGGGGAGTGTAGTCACTCTGCACAGCTGGAGGATGGCATAATAGACATCCTTATGTCCCCTCTCACTTTTGCAGAGGGCTATTTCTGTAAAAATATGGAAGCCTTCATGAATTTTTTCCAAGGGCCTCTCTTAAATCTTTGGAATTCAAATCAT